ACTCAATCATAAACTCTCGGGGCATGTTGATAAAGGACAATTTAGGATCCAACACCCCTAAAGCTCATATTTTTTTGTTGCTGACATTGAAATTGTTCAAGTTTGTTGAAAACACAATGAACAAGTGTCCCACTCTAACAGCCACCACCATCATCATCATCCACATCGTCTATCGACAACGACAGTGAGGGTCATCTTGATGAGATGTTAACAACCATGTCACAATTCATGAAACTCACTAGGAGGAGGATTTAATCATAAAATCAATCTTTCCATTTAATCTCTTAGCTCCAACAACAATGTCAAATTTATGACCCTATAAAATCATCTCCTCCAATGTCATCTAGGAGGGTTCTATTTTATCCTCACCAATGACATTAACAACATTGTAACATGATTCAAAGTCTCATACAAGACCATAAAGAGTCGAATAATCCCACATCAAGCATTTGCGCAATTTCGATGATGTTGTGGCCTTGAAGTTGACTAATGAGAACTTATTTTCCCTAGTATTCTCCAGCATTGTAAATATTTATGAACAACAGTTCCTACCAAAGACAATAGACATGGTTTAACATCAAAAGGAAACAAATATGCAAGTAAATATTAAAATTTTAAAATGTTACAAATATAAATACAATAATGTTTAGTGGTGTGTATGTAAATACCCCACTAATAATAGACACCCCATAGCCATAAGTTATTATTTCTCATAAAACATTAAACATGACCTGTGTTCCTAAATACATAGTGAAATTACAAGCTTACTGTAAAACAACTTCCTGTGATTCTGAAAAAGTTGAAGAATTGAAAAAAAAATGTAATTAAATCTTTTATTTATTCTATGAATATTCATCTGGAGGCTTCATAGCATCACACTGTTCATAGCTCATTCTGAATGAGCTTATTTAAAAGAGTAGTCAACAGAGCATCTCTTTTCTCCGCTCTAGACTCTTCCCTCATTCTCCTCTGCTCCTCCCTCTCCCTCCATGCCCGCTCGAGCATCATCCTCTCCCTCTCCAGCTTCTCCATGGTCTGCCTCCATTCCTGCTCTTCGCTCCATCATCTCCCACCAATGGGACTCTATTTGTTGCTGTTTCTGCATGAATTCCTGCAACAGCTCATGAATACTAATGGCTGCCCTCGACTTACCGCCTGCTCTGCTTTGCTGCTGTTGTGGAACGTTCTTCTCCGCCTTCCTCTTTTTGCTCTGATTTGGCCGTTCTTCATCGCTTTCTTCATCTTCTTCCTCATCGTCATCTGAAAGTTCTTCGTATAATCTCTCGCTGATGGATCGCTTTGGGTTCTTCTTTGATCGAGGTGTTCCTGATTCGGATTCGAAGAGAAGACGCTGCATTGTAGGACTTTCTGTGAACACACTGTGTAATTCTTCGAAGAATGGGCAATGTCTACCATTTTCCGCTTCGCCGGACTCTCTATCCTGGCAATCGGTAGAAACGTAATTCATTTATAATTTTCACAC